CTATCACTTTTTAGCGTTTATGAATTTTTGTGATATTTTTATGACCCTACGTAGTTTTAAAATAAAGCCTCCACTGCTGAATGATCAAAGGAATATATAATGTAATAAGATATCAGTAGAAAGCAGAAGCACATAAAATATATATGCTCATAATAAAAACTAGCCCTGATATGATGGGTTTACAGGCAATTTGCCAGTTTTCGATACCGCCGGAAAAAAAATAACAGTCTCATGTAATATTCTCTGATTAACAGGACTAGTCGTGAGGTCCCCAAGTTTCTGGTAGCCTAGGGGACAGTCTAAGCAGGTCTCCGTGGTATTTTTAGCACTTGCACTACATAGGCCCAAAATCTTTCCACTTCGTTGGGTCGAATAGCAATGAATATGTATATTTCCGTCCAAAATGATTTATATGCAGAGAAACGAGAGATATTCGATCTACCAAAAATAGCTTATTTTCGTGTTGCTTCTTCCATGCTCTCTCTAACGCTGGACTGTGGCAAGGTCTCCTATGAATTTTTTTAAATAAAAATTGACTCTTAAAGTTATGTGCAAGGAACTCCCTCAGAATTAAGCTATCTGTTGCAACTTGGATCTGGACATCATTACTGATGCCTGGCCATCGAAAAAAGTAGTCATCCTGAAAATCAGCAAACTGCGACTACGCCCCCGCATAAACCTAGCAAAGAACAGTTCGGAACCACATGATAAGTAGAGAATACGGTGGGGAATCCACTCTCCGTGGGAAAATGTATGACAAATAAAATAAAATATAATCTTGATATTTCTGACTAGCCACATGAATGATAACTTTCCAACTCCATTGGTAAATATTACAATTGAATAACTAATTTTGGTGGAGGATATTCTTGTCAGTCACTATGTGCTGCTTGACGATGAACCGGAAAGAAACACAGGTCTCTCAATGCTTTCGAAATGAATCTGTCTGCAAGGGACATACTCTTGAGCAAGCATGAAGCAAAGGGATAACAAACAACCGTCGGTCTTTACCTTTGAGAAAATATTTTTGCCCGCTAGTCATCTTACCCTTCAACGAGAACTTAAATCAGCTTTATTTTGAAGCCCTCTTTGTCACTCTCTGTAGTACATCGAATACTACTGTCGTTGCTCAAAGTTCTATTATTTACGACCAGGCCTAAGAATTGTTTTTCAGTCACCACTGCGCTTATGCAACCATTCACCTTCCGCTGGAGACTAAATCCATAAGAACATAACCACGGTTACCGTGATTACCTCCTGGGCAACTAGAAACAAATGGGTAGTGCAATACGCCGTGATATCTGATGTTGGAGGAGCCGTTTATTATTTTATACAGTCGAGGGTACGATTAGCTTATGATGAGTATGTGGTAGCACATAATGTGTAGCAGGTCCTGAAATATCGCTCGTGATGAATGCGAGGTGGTTCTGTTGGACAGAATTATGCGAGATGTATTTTGCACTGCAGGTGCTCAAAAACAACGCAACTGGGACTTGTTTATAATACCCCCACTGCTTCCTATTTGCAACTGTGAGCAAGAGGCAGTGAACTACACCATGAAACTCAGTATTGGATGAATCATTCGTTATTTAACTAATTATTTTATAATTGACAACTTCAACCTCAACCTTATAGGGCTACCTTAGACAAGAAAAATAAAATATTCGCTTGGACTAAAGTCCGGCATTTTCTGATCATGTATGATGCTTCGAAGTACGACTAGCAAACGGAAATGAACCAGTGTTTGAGTTTTTGCGGTTAAACAAGCAGTTCGGCAATCGGCAAAGGCTGATGAACAATATCAAGTATCGAGTGTCTGGCCAAGGCAGAAAAGAATCCCAATCAATGTCTGAGAGGATTAAAGATTTAGATCTTCGAGAAGGGTGTTTTTTTGGTTCCTTTTTGGCACCATCTTTACTGATTGTCGGTTCTCTTCTTCCAACAGGCTAAGCTTGTACTCCATCCATCCGAGATACGAATTAAAGAAGATCGGATGCCATACGAAACAATGTCATTTTTGCCGTGCATATTTTCACCAACGACCTTCCAGACAACATCGAGGTTATCGTCTGGTTGAATGCTGAGTGATTAAGTCCTTTTGTCATTGCTTGATTGCTTTTTGTTTTGTCACAACCTTTCTTCGTTACTGCTACAACGTCTTCTACGTTTGAGCTTGAACCACTTCAGCACAGGATAAGCTTTGAACTCATCTGAACATAACTATATTGCTTTGAGCGGTGAGCACAGCGACGGTGGGAAAACGGAAACGAGGACGACGAAAGTTGCAATTTGAGTTCGCTCTATGGATGAGGAAAATCGGAATTTTTCTCACGGCCTAGTTAACGGACACGCAATTCATAAGCTAAAAAACAATGCGAAGTGTGAGGGCCAACGACGAATAGTACATCTCATCGATATGCCAGCAGATAAGAAAGAACGAAAAGCACTGCAAGACTCCCACGATGCCACGCGAGGGCGTCAGTGGAGCAACTCGGCTCCTTCCGTCGATCAGCCCCGGAAACGAGTGCCGTTAAACACGTGTTAAAGGTGTTTACGAGTTTTACGTAGGCCGCCGAGAGTTGATTCGCAGTAGACGGACGAAATGTCAACACTCTCAATACTTAGAGAACATATTCGAAACTTTAATGTCAGCGAGTACAACTGACAATCAAACAATAATACAGTAATAAACTTAGCAACAATTGCACTTTGCAGGCCCGCGTTCCATGCTACAGAGACGTCTGCTTTTCGGCAGCTGTGATCGGTCGATTCGGTGCGACGGGCTGACGCATTGTTCGTTCGTCCGTCCGTCCGTCCGTCAATGGTGGCGGTGAGGTGAGTGTGAGTACGGACGCGGGAATGAGGAACAAAGTCGTCGGCTTCCAATCCATCGCTTCGGCGTTGATTTCGGTCCTCGGTAGCGACAACAGCTGGTCGAGCAGACACTTCACACATAGTAAGGCACAGTAAGAAGTTAAAACAAACAAACAAATCGATCAACCTGAACACAGGAACGGAAACACATCAGACACGTCATAAAATCACATCATGTACATAGAAGAAGAAACAGCGTCGGAAGAAGTCATTATTCCTGTAAAGCTAGAATACCAGAGTCGAGTGATTTGGTCGCCGCCGCAGTAGTCGTCGTCGTCAGCCCTGGTCTGATCTGAGCATCGCAGTCCGGACGACGTAGTAGTCAGGATATACGTGGAAGTACTACTCGTTCATTGACGACGTGCGATTCGTTTCGTGATGTCGTCGTCTCGTCGGTAGACGACAAACTTAAGTGAGAGGCAGCGGTCGGTCGTTGAGGGCACATAACAGGGTGTTCCTCTGTTGCTGGCGTCAGACTTGTCTAACCTCACTGTGATGCGTATG